TCTAGGAAGATAATGTATTTGAGAATTCATCAGTGTAATATATTATTATAATTACTTTTATATTTGTTATATTACGCTAGACATTTCTACGGTAATGCGGTGTTATTTCAGAACTGTAAAAAACTGAGTCGCAATAAATCAAATTTTCCAGAAGATATATTTCTGGCACGTACAGTATATTAATTATCTTAATGGACCTTTTCAATAAAAACTATTAAACGGTGGAAACTGGAACGAGACGAGGAAAGGCTCTATAGATTTCCAGTTTTGCATATTCGAAAAAGGGTCGCTGAACTTGACACTGTGAGGAAAACAATAGTTTTCCATAAATAGGAAATAGGTCGAGGAAGGGAAATTTTAAAACGTATTTATCGCCTTCTATATTTTTCTACTTGAAAAATTACGACTGTTTCTCCTCGAATTGTTTCTGCAAAACAAAATTAATTCTATATAGTTTTAAGGCAGCATTTAGTCTGAAATATCGTATATTTCAGTTTTGAATGATTATACTGGAGATTCTATTGAAAAATATCTACGGGCTTGCTACTTTAACTAAATAACAGTACATAAACAATTAAAAATTAAAATACATTTTGTTTTTTATGTATAAAATCAACTAAGAGTACTTATATTCCCTAGAAACTTCCTGTTAAATCTCTGTCTAATGAAAAAATCACGAAATAAGAAATTGGAAAGTTTTAAAGTAAGCTGATCTTTTTACTTCACTTCCTCTTTAATACATATTTTATCAAGTCGTCTTATAAAGTTAAGCAGATTTCCCGTTTAAACTAGCATTTTTTTTGTATTTTCAGATACGTCTGTGAAGTTTAGCTCTCACGTATATACATAGTTCTATTAAAACTTTAAATAAATATAGTATTTTTCTAAAATTTACTTTTAAAAATCATCTGTATTCAGATGTTTTAGATTTCTTGTCTTTTTTTAAATTTGAAAGTACCTTATTTAATTAAAAAAATTGTGTGTGCACTATGTGCGCATATTTGAAGTGAATCTTCTTAAGCCTCATACTCACACTTTGCTACTTCACTTCCTTCCTTCGTCGCGTCCCTTCGTCCAAAAATCTTATATTTACTATGGGAAATGTCGATTTTATGCGACTGTGTGTTCCTTCGCTCCTTCGTCAAAACGCTCCTTCGTCCGTTTACTTCTTCGAAACGCTCCTTCCCCGTATTGTCGGTTTTTGGACGAAGTAGCAAAGGAATTATCACGAACACAAAAAAATATTAAAATATATAAAATATATAAATCGATCTTGGATTTCATTCGTAGTTGATTTCTTGATTTGGCAGTACGTCTGTACAGGGTGTCCCATTTTCGTGTGTTTTGCAGGGTTTCTCTTTTATGAGTCGAGATACAAAGATGCGGTCTTCACATTACGCTATTACTTTTTTATGAAACTAAAGATGCTGCATACAGATATATCCTAGCTCTCTTACTTCCTACAATACAGGGCGAATCTGAAATTATTGCATTTTTCGATCCCCTTTGTATCATAACTTATCGAAAAGGTGAAAACAGTCTCCCGTACAGTTTTTCACGTAAAATGCAGTGACTAACTATTTCTTCGTTGGAATCTGTCTTTTTTTAAATTGACTAAAACTTAAATGTTTTTTTAAATGCGATATTTTGTATATTATTTTATTTTCCTTGTTACGGGCTTTCTAAAATACTTATTTTCATAAACGGGGTAAAAATGCATTATTTAACTTTATTACATAGTCGGCCGGTTTAAATTAGGTAATCAAAACAATCAACTAATTTATTCGACGTAAAATGTTGGTTATTGGCATGTTATTTAAAAGCAGCAGCACAAGTTCAGTTTCCGTGTAGTTTATCAAAATATCACGATGCAAGGCAAAATTATCTGGTAAAATTAAGTTAAATAAAATAAGAGCCGTTTAGCAGTTTAGCAGTACCTAAATAATTAAATATAGAGTATATTATAATTTTCGAAAGTTCATAACAAGGCAAATAAAATAAAAAATAATATATAGAATGTCCTGTTTAAAAAAAAGAACATAGGTTTGAGTCATTTTTCGAAATAGACAGCTCCCAACGAAGAACCACTTTCGTCACTGCCATTCTACCTGAAAAACGAGACACGGGCGGTGGGTAAGTTCTCAATGGGTAGAACAACACAAAATCAGGATATCCGGTATATACCTGTACATTTAGATGAACAGTCTAATTTTATAAAAGGTATTTCCAACGACCGCATAGTAAATACCCGGTATAATACCAGTAATATCACGAATACGAGTATATCTACAATATTTCTTATATATATTGTAGATATTATATATTGGTATATTTCTATTCCCGGTATTATACCGGGTATTTACTATGCGGTCGTCGGAAACTCCTTTTATTAAAATTAGGATGTTCATCTAAATCTACAGGTATATACATATATACCCAGATTTTATTTATCTACAAATTGGATACTTACTCACCACCCATCACTAACCCTTTTCACATTTTCGATAAGTTATAAGATAATCGAGATACAAAGGTTATCGAAAAATGCAAAAATTTCTACTAATTAAAAAATAAAAAGTAAAAGAAAGAAATAAGAAATTACTTTGAACTAGAAGGCTAGGATAAATATGTGTGTAGCATATTTAGTTTCATAATAAATAGAACAATGATGTGAAAACAGCACATCTTTATATCTCTACTCATAAACTGGAAACCCCATAAAACACACAAAAATGGGACATCCTGTACATCTAGCAATCGATATAGCAGTCGATATAAAAATAATTCACACACAATAGTCTAAAAAATGGAAGAAAAAAACTATTGTCTTCATATTTGTGCAAAAATAAATGTACATATTTATGTAATCGTAGCGACAAAAATAAAAATATAGAAATAGTGTCCATGATGCCTTTACAAAAATATCTGAAGGAATGGGGATTGACATCATTAACGTTTAATTAGTATGTTATATTTCATGGTTTCGATATAAATTACATAATAAACTTTACTCTATTGTTGACTCGTCTTGTACATTCATACTGATATACATTGTACATGATACTGAAATATTCGGATTTATTAAAAATAAATATATTATTAAAATTCAATTTTTATTTTTGACACGACAAAGAATTGCAGTTTTATAAAATAAAAATTATGCGCCTTCCGGATTTTATAAAAATTTTGGAGGTTACCTACTAGATATTTCGTAATAAACATGTAGCTGCTATATTAAAAATATTTTGTGGTGTGTTGTTGCATAATTGACTAATTTCCAAGCATCGAATAGACGAAGGAACGCGAGGAAGTAACGCGAGTGGGACGAAGGAGCGAAGTGCGAGTATGGGGCTTTACTAACAGCTAATAAATTGACGTATTTGAAGGACATGTTTGAAAAAGTGTAGTTTGAAATGCTGAAAAAGTAATAATATTTAATTTTTTTACGCATAAAAAAGTTTTTTACGTGTAACAAATAGTTTTTTTAGACGTAAAAATGGTTTTTTGTGTAACAAATAATTTTGTAAGTGTAACAAACAGTTTTTGGGATGGGGTGGCGTGGGGTGGCGTGAGCCCTAGTGTGTACGCAACACATGTAATTAAATGCAAAAACATACGCACAGATCTTCATGACGTTGGTTGGCATGGCGTGGCGTGGCGTGTGACCGAATGAGGTCCCGGCTTAAGTCGTTACCAGTAGCTCATGTATCATGGCCTTGAATTTTTGCTCCCAGCACGCATAAAAAACTTTCACTTCAAAAAAGATTTTATTCCATTGTTATAAAGGTAGAATTAACTCTCCAATTTAATTTATACTCTGTGTTCATTTAGTTTACTGTGTTCAAGACTCAAATTTACTAAATGCGTAACGAGAGCCCTCTGTATTAGAAATTTAGGGAAGGGTCATCTTTTAGAGGCGTTTGGGAATTTTGTCTGCGTGAGCATGAATTTAATCAATTTGCATCTGCAAAGCAAACAGGATGCAAATAATGTCTAAATATTCGTTCAGACTTGCTATTGCAAACTTGCCTGGCCATTTAGAAAGGCCTCGTCTTACAGGACTGTCCAATTTTTTTACAGAACTCTTAGAAGAAAGTAATATTTTATTAACATAACTATAAAAACCATATACAATGTTTGGTAATAAACATTTGTAATAAACTTATTAGTGTCTGGTTCTAGCTATTTATTTTAATATAGCTTTAAAAATATTTTTGATATTTTTTAACAATACGAATGTTATTGTCACGAGACAAAATAATTTCTGCATAATTTTTCTGGTACAGTCTGATGTTTTGTTCGGTTTATAGGATAATAAAAAATGATGTAATACACCTTCCTGCTCGGGATACTGATATGGTTTATGAGCATTTTACTGCAGGTTAACGCACAGTGACACAACAACAAAATGTCATTCATAATAAGTTACAAATTGATTCCTTTTCAATGGTATCTGAAATGTAATTCAAGTTTTATTTAAGCCTAGAATATGCTGTTATCGCTTTCAGTTTTCGCAGACAAGGAAAAAAGACATAAAATAAAATAAATAAACTCTGCGGAAAGAAAGATAGTTCCTTTGCATAGTTTGTCGTCTCTGGCTCAACTATTCTATAATGGAAGTGGTCTGATATATATGGATAGTTTTAAATTCGACAAGTTTTATCCTAGTCTGGCAGGTAGGAAGTAAATGTGATATAAGGAGTATTGAGGCCACTTCGTATTTTCGTATCGCATTTACGTACGAAATATTTGAAAAGACGCAGATGTAGAACTGTTCTGTTTCTTGGTAACATTTGAATTGTAAATGTGGGAAACCAAACATTTCGCTGTTACTTATTTATACATGGCTTGAGAATTATTAAGCAAGTTCAATTTAAAAGTATGTAAATGGACTATTTGTCTAGCATACTGTTTATACAATCATTAGAAAGATTAAAGTTTGATTTGTATCTCCATTTTAATTATGTTAGTCTCAAAACAATATAAGGAAAAACACTTACCCATATTCAGGTCTCAATCTTAGATCTTCATTGCATACGTTGAAGGTGACATTTGTTTCTAATGGCAAGTTATTCTGCAAGGTACACTGGAAAAAATCTTCCCAATACTGTTCGAACCACGGATTCCTCTTGTTTTCCTCAGGAGTAAGAGATGTCATATACGCGTCGAACTCTGGAATGTTGGTGGATTGTAACTCTACTGTTATGGCACCCTCAGCTACCTCTTCTAGGCTCTCTACCAGTTTCTGCTGTTTGCCCCAACCATCGCTCGCAACCCAATAGAAATGGCTGCTGGCATTTCCACGTTTAGCAGCCATTAGTAGTCTCCTGAAAAATTAAGAACCGTTGATATTAAAAAAATAGCAGTTTTATTATTACAATAATAAAGGTGAGTAGAAAATAGGGAAAAGGAAATTAGGAGTTATTTAATTTTCGTAAATTTAAATTAAGTTTAAGCCGACATAACTAAATCGAACTTATCACTGTCTAGCCGAAATAGTTTCAATTAATTAGAAACTCATTTCGAACACCTAAATGTAACGTATAACCCGATTGCCTAGGCGTGTTTAACTAATAATTCTAATATGTGGTCCATAATAAAGCTATCAGTTAACTACGTGATAAAGTTCTATTGTATTATTTGATTTAGTTGATTAACATAACTGTTATGAGAATGTATGGAAATGAGCAGCAATAAATCATTTATTAAACTAACATATTGTTTACTATAAGTTTAAGTTTTATTAATCTTTGTTTGGAAATGTTTTATTTCCAAACTTTATGTTTTTTGTGGAAAATTGCGATATATAATTTTATTTAATATTTTAAAGAAATATCTATTCCTATTACGAGCTCTTATGTATGCACATTTCAACATGTTATATTCTTAAAAAATATCGGATTTGAGCAAAAATAATCACTGGATTATAGATCTAAAGAGGCTAATTCCTCAGCCGGCTTTCGTGGTTCTTGATTTAAATACTAAGTTGCCTAACGAACAAAAAATACTTCAACGTTTTGAGGTCTAATCTACAGTGTCGTCCTCCGTAATCCCATGTCGTCAAAGTGATAAAACACTTTATTAGGAAGAAAGGGAGTCCTTATGTCCTTATTTTAAAATTCCACCCATTTAAAAAAATACTGCCACGAAAGTTTGATAAAAAAAGACATAGAGTAATTATCTACATATTTCTTATACGCTATTGTTGTTTATTTTATTTTGCTTTTGGCATTTGTTCTTAAAGACTTGATATGAAAAGAGAGATATGAAAGAAGAAAGTATATATGAAATCGAGGAAGAAAAGGGAAATTTAATAAGAAAATGATTGATTAATTGAAAGAACAGGTTTAATTGAATAGCTGTCAAATCTGAACTTATTATTAATCTATCGCTGACCAAAGATCTTTGTTTCTTTTCGCGATTGTTTCTTTGATTAATACAAGCGATATCATTTCGCAAGAAGAGTTGCATATTTTTAATCGAATCTTTTATAACAGAAAACAATGCTAATTTTGTATATTAGTGCTTTCCCAAAATAGTAAAACATTTAGTAATAATCTAAACAAGATATTATTGAAAGTTAAATAAAAAAAATATTTTAATTTGACACTATATAAAAGGAAATCCTGTTCTTCCTGGTTTCTTTGCTGAGGAAAATATATGTTTTTTACTTAGCACTCAGCTTTCGCTAAAATATTACATCGCTCTTGATCGTTATGGTTTCATATGTTTTCTACTACTTCCGTCACATGTACTATGTTTGCTTCATATTTTATTTTTTAATATATCCTATATAATAATCATTGTGGAGAGAAAATATATATTCTAATGTAGTCGGAATCAAATAGTAGACAGAAAAGACATTCTACTAAATGGAAATAGTAGAAGAATATTCACTGGAAATAGTAGAAGAATATATTATATTCTTAATATACAGGGTGAGTCGTAAATAAGAGCAAATATTTTTAGTAATTAAATTATTTTTTTTATTATTCGATTATATTTAGAAATATTTATTATTTATAATTAGTATTTTGGTCAGTAGTGCCTGTCCTCTGATATGTACCTGCACCGGGTATTGCATTTTATAAATGACAATAAGTTTATGGTAAAATCAAACTGCAAATAAACAGTCGGTTTGTTTACGTTTTGTTTGTATTTGTTCGGTGAAAACAAATCAATGTAGTTTCTTTACTCTAGCTTTTATGTACTCGCATGTGTACTATATGGTTGCTTTCTTTAAATTTTTTAATCTAACCTCTTTAATTTCTTCTAAGTTAAAGTTATTATATATTATATGAGCTGTAATATTGCAATTTATTTGGCGTATTAAATATAAAATGGATTTAGGCTCCTTCAAATAATCAGCTAAAATGTGTTTATTTATTTTCATTTTCTTGTTTAACTTTCATTTATTAGGAGAACATCCTTAAAAGGTAAAGTAAATGAGCAAAATATACAGTAAATATTTTGGCTCTTTGCCAAAGTTAATGGCTTAATGAGTTTGAATGACGTATTATAACTTTCTTGGAATCATGGTAAATATAATTAAAATATGTTCAGGGGAAAAATATAGAAATACATTAATACCCAATTTTTTCTGTTTTAAGAATTAATTTTATAGAGTTAATTATTTTAAGACGTTTGGTGTAATTTCACTAACGCTTTATTACTTTTCATTCTTGATTACTACGAATGGAAGGTTATATATTTTAATTTCCCAATTTTCTGAAATTTCGAGCGTTGAACATGTTTTTCACAATCAAATCGCAGTTTTTGAAATTGTGGTTTCCATCTACGCACATACGTCAAAATCAAATCGCGTCATTTGACCCTCATGTCAGGCTGATCGGGGAACAATTCATTGAGGTTTAGTCGATTACAAATTCCGATCTATACCGCAGATTGCTGGGTTCATTTTAATTCAAATTATCGCTGTCTCAGTGCATACTTAAAATTCCTAGACTGCCTTTCGACTTGTACCTTACGATTGCACGAATTCTATTTTCTTTTATTATTTTTCATCGAAAAATATGTAAAAAAATCTTTCAACTAATAAAGTTGTTTAGAGGAAAATAAGTATTTTATTGCAACAACTGATCTCTATCATGATTTTCTTTCGTATTAAAGTATTCGAAGATAAATAATAAGATAATAGATGCACAATTCTATAGGCTTGGTGCATTCTCCGCCGGTGCTGCCACCATCGGAGAATACTGTAAACACATGTGTATATCGAATAAATATTGAATTTTAATATGCTCTTTGTCTTGAATGCGATTGATACGCTAAAAGGATAGAAATTATTACATTGATTTTCATGCCAGTTATGATTTTTGAAACCCACTCTTTTTTATTTTTTCTAAAAAATAACAATGAATTATATTAGAATAATTGAACGTTAAATCTGTATGAGAGCCATGAAATATAAATTCACAAAAATAATTAAAGAGTCCAGGTAAAACGGAACAAGAAAATTATTTATTTATAAATTAGCACAACGAGCAGAAATAATTATTTCTTTGAAATTGCTTATTTACATAAAGAAATTAATTGGTTGTGTACAAATTACAAAAGCAAAATTTAATGAATAGAAAATTTAAATTAATTTTGCTACTCTGTTTTAAAAGTAAAGCTCATAAAAATTGATATTTATTCTTCATAATAGAATAACGAATTTCCAACATTATTATTTAATTTAACACTTTTTGTGTGTTACACGTATTTACCTTTGAATGCCTAATTAGATTAATCACACAATTAAAATTTTAAAATCTTTTTTACTTAATTTATCAAACCATTGATTCGTTTTTAATAATGTTAAACACAAATACGATATAATTATAATTGGCATGTTGACTAAATTAAACTGCGCTAATGGAGATTAAATTTGCAGATACTTTGCGTATTATATTCGTATATTTGTACAACTAAACTAACAGGTATTGATACATATTTTTTCTAAATATCAGGAATAACCTAGTTAGATTTCAGTTCTAATTAATCTAAAGGCCAGCAAGAAAAATGAGGAGATTAAATAACACAAATTGTAAAATTGCATTTTAGTTTATTAAACAAATCCAATAAGAAAAATAAAAGTACAGGAAAGTAGCCCGCTCAAATATGGTAATAAAAAAACAACCAATTACCATAAGTTATTTGAACAAGAAAAAAGAACGTATAATCTCAATAAGGTTCGAACAAAGCTTGTTTAGGGTTCATAATTATTTTCAATTTTTCTCTAGAATTTTAAATATTACTCTCGTTTTCGTAAATTTACATAAAAATGGTTAAGTGGAAATCTGTTTAAGTGATTTAATGGAATTTATAATTAATTGATCTCAAATAAAAACCTATAAAATAAGAGCTAGATAAAAGAGTTTTTTTGGGACATTTGGTTGCCTTGTATCTTGTATATTGTCCAAAAAATGAATATACTGTTTAGTGCAAATAAAAGGAGTAAACAAAAACGTTTTTGAAATATATTTTTAGTTTCTATCCTTATATATAAACTGGAATTAACCAATATATTTGTTCTTGTTTTAGTTACTTAATAAACTTTTCTGTTGGGGGCTATATCAATATGTGTCTTTTCCCAAACAAATATTACTTTACGTTTGGGTATATAAGTGAATATAAAGGTTTCGGAGCTTGAAATTTAGTTTTTTGACAAAAAACCGAAAAATTAGCAACTCTGAGCTAATAGAAGCTAAATTTAATTTGATGTAAATGAGAAAACTTTTCGTCTGTAATTGCTGTTTTATGTTGGAACACTAAATAAATACAATTAGCGATATTTTGGGTACAAGTTAAACATCGTTAAATGATTATTAATCATTAAATAATGTTTATAAACTTTTATATATAGAAATAATTGATAATAATTTTCAATGACGTAAATCTGCTTTTTTACCAGAATAATCGTCTTATATCGTGACATCTGCCGAAAATAAAAGCTAAAAGAAAACCACAGTACGTCTTTTTTTAGAGTTTTCTAGGAAAGATTGATGTTATTTTAGCCCACTCTACAGTTTACTATTGTGTTACTATACATTTCTTTTTCTTATCTACGATCTTGACTTCACTGATACACTCTTACGAATCCTAGTTTAATCGTCTTAATAAATCCATACGAATCCTCCAAAAATCCACTAGTTTAATAATTTTTATGATTGCTTCGATTGAAGTTGTTAATTGATCTACCCTCGGGAAAGTTTATCTAAATATCAGCATTGGCTAGGAATAATATTGAAGGAAACAAACGCATAAACAAACAGGTATTGTGGCCAGCAGTAGTTATAACAGGTATATGTGCCATCGTTCTGCTTTTTAAAACTCGTTTTCATGATTTATTTCTAACAAATTAGAATATAAATTGGTTGTTCTGCATAAAGATACCGTTTATATTGAGAGTTTCTAAAAAAAAAATAAAAAAGTTAGAGCATTCAGGGACAATATAATTATATCAAAGTTACACTTTTTTTAATCGCCATGTCTTAAACTAGTTTCTTGCTTGACTAGTCAATGGTAATTCAGTCTCTAGACCTAAATATTCAAGTGTCGTTTCTGTGATATTAGGTTTGAAATTAAATGAGAACCCTTTTTATAATATCAAATCGATAATACGCGGATCTTTTTGAGGAGTAGGCGGATCATTCAAAGGATATGGGATTAGTTTTCTTTGAAATGCAAGGATCGTATTTTATATACTGTTTATACAGTATAATCTAGATAATTCGCATCCCTTAAATACGGTATATTTTGAACATACAATACTTGAAGGGCACTTGTCATGCCCGGAATTTAAATAAAAATACTTTTTAAACTTCCTAGTAATTTTAATTCATTTGATTTACCGGTAGCATCGAAAATTTTGAAATTACCATCAACATAATAATTTCTATCGTTCAATAACTAAAAACCCAAGAAACTAGACAGTTTTATACCGTGAGGGTATGATTCATTTTTAAAATGGCACTGCTAAGACTTTTTAACTGATTCGTAAAATGTTAAAGCCTTAATAAAATTTTAAGGTATTTTTATATGAAATTTTTATATGCAGTAGTAAATAGTAAATGTATAAAAACTGCAAGCGGTATATTTTTTAGCATTTTTAGCATCTTTAACTGATTTTAATCTCTCAAGTAGTATAAAATATTAGTATTTTACATATTTTAGTTGATCGTAAACAAAGATATTTGTGGCAAAGTTAACTTACCTGGCATCTTCTGCTCTGGTGAACAGCACCACACCTCTTGCATTGACCTTTTTCTTGAGCTTATTAATAATGTTATCAAATTCTCTCTCATCTGCAGTACTAGGAACTTTTTCCGCTGTCGCAATGCACACGTTGCGTTCTTGAGCTTCTCTATGAAATACTTCTATGCCATATTCGCCATACGACCCCTCTGAATAAACGGTAGACACATACGACCAGTTTACACTTTTAACAATATCAACTAGAGCACTAGATTGGAACGTGTCTGGTGGTACAGTCCTGGCAAAGTACTTAAATCTACTTTTGTCGCTCAGTGCTTTGGCCGTTGATGCTGGAGATATTTGAGGTATACGAAACAAGCCCAGAAGATTGGCGACTTGAAGGGACACCGAGCTGTAGCTTCCTCCGACTACTCCAAAAACTGGACCTGAGTAGTTGTTTCGAGGTCTCGGAATTGAGTGGTCTTGGCATTCGAAACTGGATGTGTCTATGTTGTTCAGTGCAGAGGCTCTTACGAATTGAAGAGATTGATTCAGTGCGTATGTATCTCTGGAGCAGGTGTCTATGATGTGTGCGCCGATTGTGATATTAGGTAATATAGAGGAATCTGCGTTTATTCGGTCGATGGCGAACATCATGGCCTCCATTCTTTGGATGCCTCGGTGGTAGATTTTGTGGCCGCATGCTGTTTTCTCGCCTTTTTCGTGCACAGGGAACAAACCTCCGATGATGATGTCACCAGGAACAGTGGTCGAAGCTATCCAGGGCTCCGCCAAAGGCGGTGAGATGTCTTTTTCGGCAAACAGAAAAGGAAGAAGAGGTATGACCAAAAATCCAAATAACATCCCCAGCTAGCTTGTTACCTCTTTGTGTCTTCGATGCAGAAATTACACTGAAACAATAGAGAAAAATATGTAATTTAATTAATAATCTGATAATAATTACTTGATTATCAATTATTATATTACCCTCTCAGTTATCAAGTAGATCTAGAATGTAGAATGTATGTTAACATGCTTGTTAACAAGTTAATTTGTAGTATTAGAAATTATATAATATTAGAAGTTAAGAAATACATATATATTTAATTATAACATAGTCAAAATTTAAATGAAATGACTAGAATGATCTAATAGTCTAATTAATATTTTACAATAATTTTCACTTTGCTCTTAATCAGTATGTCATGTACTACATTGCCATTTGTGCGTTTTGTCTATTATTAGTCCGATATATTTCACTATTACCGTCAATAACTGTCAATGCAACTGTTATGCTTTAGTAAAGTAACATTTTCTAATAATGTCTTTATTATATTTTAGAATAGAATCAAATGGGTATACTAATTAATATCTAATAAAAGATATAATAATTGTTATGTAATAAAATAGTACAAATCTAATGTAAATTCATTTTAAAACAAAACGAAGGGTAATTTATGTATTAGAAAACTCATTTATCTTTGAAATAGGAACTAGTTTTGAAAGTAATTAATAATTTACCTATTGGAAGGTAAGCTTTTGAATGACTTAGTCATTAGTTGTGTTGCTTTGGGAATGACTGATTTCTGTTTTTTAATATTTTATTACCGTGATTTAAAGCTTGATTTTCCACGTAAGCTTGTGAAGTATATTGTTTAATTTTTAATTATTTAAACTTATCTTTTACTAAAGTTTATTATTATTATAACTTATTTTGTTGTAGCCGGATTTGCTTTTCAAAAAAAAAATGTACAAAAAATATTTATATACAGTATGATCCGAATTGTATTCTGGAACTGACGTCGATATTTGGTTAAAAATTGGTGTCTAAGTATTTTTGAGAGAAATTTGATTTGAGACATGAAAATTTTGAAACACCTAAGTTGGCGCCCCCAACAAGTAGATGTTTTTTTCCAAATATCAGCATTAGTTCAGAAATTATTTGGAAAAAATCGGAATAAAAATGAAACTTCTACACCTTTTATCTCCGACACAAATTATTTTAGAACATAAACTTATATGAACTTTTTTGCCGAAGTTTTCCGAGTACAATTCGGACCACCCTGTATATACTACACAAAATATTGTTTAATAAATCTATATATACATTCAATAACTTTATACAATCGTAACCTTTTTGTTTACATTATGCAATGTTATTTATTCACCTAAATTAAACATGAAATTATAGTGCAGAGCAGAACTTTACGGAAGAAGGAAACTTTTCAAATACAGGCATATAATTACATTTTTAGTTTTATTATTTATGGAAAATGTATAAATAATCCTTGTTTATTAGATACACTTCTCTTTGAGCTATTTAATTTATCTACTTATATATTACGATGTATTTTTGAATGCTTGACATATAAATTTTAATATAATTTTATTAGAAAAACGGTGTTTAAAAACTGTATTGTATCCTTTTTTACAAAAGAAATTGAGGGATGTTTCCTGAAACATCAGACATGCCTGGAAATAATTTAAAATGGATTTTCGAATGTTCCTTATCGCTTTTGACGGCGCTTCTTTTGTAATGACGTTAAGCATTCTCCAACTGAGAAATTTTAAATGATTTACGCTATTTTTTGTTGTGTATAGCGATTTTTTAGTTCTACACAATATCGAGCAGCCAAATCGGCATTTAAAAAATACCATATTTTATTTCACTTTTTGATGCCTACGTCGATTTTTTTTTCGTATGATATTTCAAAGCGGGAAAATAGTATGCCAATTTGATTTTTAATTTAAATCAAACATATTTTTGTAACGTTTTGTTTTTCCAAAAATATCACAGCGACATTTATATAAATCCTGTTTGTATTTAAAATCTTAATACCTTTGAGTTTTGTAAATTAAAATAGGATATATCAAACACAAACTGTATTTAGATGTATAAATATGTATGAGTGCTAAAATTTGATTATAATCATGGATAAATCTTGGGTCCTTATATACTGTGTAGATTTAATATAACCCTTATAACTAAAAATTATTTTGAAAATATATTAATATTTATAAAAAATCATTTAATTTTATGTTCACAGTTTAAGTGCTTATTTAAATTATTATTTTAAACTAAAAATAATATTTCCCGTTATTTTTGTTTGCAGAAAACAATCAAATATACTGTAAAAATATTTTAAAAAACATTATAAAACTGATATTAATGAAGAGCGAGTTTTTGAACAACCAAACTTATATAGAATCATCTATTATTTTTCATAATTTTTCATAATGTTTAAGATGTTGTAAAAAAAATAATCAGTTCCCAAAATAAACAAAATGGTATTTTTTTGGTTTCTGAAAAGAAATTAAGATTTAAATTTTTAATGGCCAAAAAGCATAAACAAAAAGAAAATTGATAATTTTAATATTCCTTGTTGCCACCTCTAGCCCTTATGCAAGCTTCTATCCGCGCTGGCATGCTTCTTATTAAATTATCCACGTTGCCTTATGGTATGTTTTCCAATTCTGCTAATGCTGCATCAATAAGCTGTGCGAGATTTCCTGGATTGTTTCGAGGAGCCCTAACCCTTCTTTTGAGCTAGTCCCACATGTGTTCGATAGGGTTTAGATCTGGTAAATAGGCAGGCCAGTCCAAAACTATAACACCTTCCGTTTCAAGACATTCTCTAGTCACTCTGCTGGTATGGGGAGGTGCACTATCGTGCATGAAGTTAAAATTATCCCCAATTGCAGCTCTCAAAGACTAACGATTGGTTCTAGCACCAAATCAACATATCTCCGACCCGTTAAGATTTGTTGCAGTGGTAACAATGGAGTTTTTGCTCCCAGTATAATACCTCCCCAGAACATTACAGTTCCTCTTTTATATCTTTGTACAGATTTGGCAGTCTGAAGTCTCGCTCGTCTTCCTGGAGCTCTGAGAACTCGAATTCGATGGTTATCTGATCTTAGGCCAATTCTGGTCTCGTCCAAAAAAAGAATTTTGCCAATTCTCAGTTGTCCAGTTTTAATATTGAAGGCGTCAATTTAGCCGGTCAATTTTATTTTGCCGTGATAACTGTGGGATCCGTAACTCTCTCCTACTGTAAAACCCTCGTGCACGATGCTTTTTTCTTATGGTTTCAACTGAAACGTTCACACTTGTAGCTGCCAGAAGTTGTCTTTGTAACTCTGGTGAAAAAATGAAAAACATTAGGATTTATTCTAGCAGTTTAGCACACAAGGGGGTCTTGTTGGTCAGTTATGACTCTTTGACGACTTTGTCTGGGCCTATCCTTGTGTGTTCCTAATTCCAAGTACCTTCCATATGTTTTCGATACAACACCCTGGGAAATGCCTACTATCTCTGCTACGTCTCTCTGGAACATTCCTCGTTCGGTGAGGGCAATAATTATAAGGCATTTTTTATTTTTTTTGGATTGAGTGAAAATTACCGGACAATCGTGACTTTACTACTGAAAACAAAATTCAAAATAAAATAAATCGCAGCAGTTGTTTATTCTTTATTATCATGTTTATTTACATCAAAAAGCCTTATCTTAAAGTTGTATACCAATTTTTATCATTGCAAGAAATTTGGTCAAAAATAAAGAGTGATTCCATATAAGTTTGGTTGTGTGTAGTTTTATTAACGTGAATTATTTTCGTCACCTCAATCAATCTAGTATAGTCCCTGACAGAGCGAAATTTCACTTTTATTCCGGAAGCCTTCAATGTTAACGAAAATGAAAATTTCTAACATCAATAGTCGCATAAAATATATTTTAAAACAAAAAGTTTCGCGAATGAACGAAGTTTTTTAATACGAAATCACGAGAGCACCTGGTACACTTCTAAAAACTTTCTGAAAAAGATATCAGACACAAGGTTTAAGATAATCATATCCTTAATGAGATTGTTTCCTCCGTTTTTTTCTAAAGCCTGTCATTTTTGACATATGACACAAACATATGTTTTTTTAAATGGAAATCATAGTTGGCCATGACTTCGTAAAAAGCGCCATTTTTTAAGCTTTTTAGCGATATAAGCTATAATATGTTTTCTTCGAAAAATTACTGAGTTATAGCCAATTCTTATCATTTTTAAACAATTTCACATAGTTAGCCATGGAAACCGCCGTTGCTCTCTCATTAAATCGCCTTTCCTCTCAGAAATGTGAAGCTGACACATCCAAACTTTGTAAATTAAAATAAACACAAAGTTTTTCAAAAAGAAGAAAAGCGTGTAGATACTCGCGCATCAATAGAGTGGTTTCAACATGACTTTCATTATGACCTCCCCCATAATGAAAGAAATGTTAAAAATTATTTATATCATAATTATGCAAACTCAGGGATAGGAAGAGGTGGACCAATTGCATGGGCCTCCTCGATCACCTGACCTATCCATTTTAGATTTTTTATGCGGTATGGTTAACATTAAGATTTACAAAAGAACTTGAAAGAAGTGGCGGTACGAGAGAAGTTTAATTAAGTCGACCGGTCTTTCTGTGAGAATAGGTAGTAATTCAGTTTTAAAAAGAGGCAACTCAAAACAATGACGGATTTTTGAATGAACAATGAACATTTTCTAAAATAACTTAAAGTGTATGTAGTGATATTATTTTTTTAAGTTTAAGTTTGTACAATGTAAATTGTAAAAAACCGTTTAGTAATATATTCTGACTTTTTATAAGTTATAAATCATACCAGAATAAGAATACCATATACCAGAATAGAATACCATCTAAGTGAAATCTAAGTGATCTAATACAATCTAATACAACCTAAGTAAGAAAGATAAGAATTGGCTATAACTAAATTTAACTTTTCTAACATGTCTTGAAAACCGTTCTCTAAAAAACGTAACATTTACCGGTCAACGTATTCTCGAAAATGTACATATGGTCAAGAAAAATTGAACCAATACTCCTACATGCTTTTCTTCATTTGAAAAATTAATA